GTCTGTCCCTTCATGACCCTACCTGTCCCGTCTGTTCATTCATGTCCGTACCTGTCCCTTCATGTCCCTACCTGTCCTGTCTGTCCCTTCATGACCTACCTGTCCAGGGGACAGTTCTCAGTTGAACCCTCTCTCTCTGATCATCAGATTAACATAATCTGGTTGTTTTAGTTTAGATTATGAGAACATTTATTCTATCGGCTGTATTTAAAATCTGAACGTGGTCCACGCTGGCGGGTCGTCTCAGAACCACAGACTCGGCTGCTGCTCGTGGTTCTGTCCGCGGCCCGTGTTCTCAGAACTCCTCCTGCTGCCTTTGTTCCCCGTCGTCTCTTCAAGTCAACGTTTGCGCTCTCCGTTCAGTTACCAGGCAACTTGCCCGCTCGTTTAACTGACGAGCTGAAGCCGGAACTTTCTTCTCCCTCTGAAGGTTCTGGTCTCTGCTCAGCTTCGGCCTCTTCCCTCCCAGACGAGCTAGAGCCCTGATGAAGAGGAGGCCCCCCAGCTTCCTCAGCCTGTTTGTTTAAAACCAGAGATGAGACTGAACCCTGCCATCTTCTGGCTGCAGCCAAAAGAGGAGCGGCTCCTGCTCACAAACCACGAGGAGAAACAGGCGAGGAGGGTTCACACGCTTCGGCTGGTTCTGATTAAAACAGCCGAAACGCAGCCGTGACTCTGCAAACCTGAGCCCAGTGATCTGAGACTCCAGAGAGGCTCACACCGAGTCGCTACTCGTTCAATAAACACCAGAGGCCTCGGAGGAATTATATTTAAAATATTAGTTTTTATCTTCAGTCCTGCGGCAGGAGACCACTCTGCATCCGGACCAGGACCAGCACACTAGAACCGCTTACGGTTCTACACCATTACAGCCCCGACAATCAAAGACCTCCTTTAACCTTTGACCTTGATATGTGACCTTGGAGACTGGTGATGAAAAGTGCGCACGATGGTGCAGATGTGCGTGAAGGTTTGTTCCGTTATGTCGAGCGGATCAGAAGTGATGGGCAGGACCAGAGACAGATGATGTGCACGTCTGTCCGCCTTCAACGTGCGTTTCATGAAAACGTTTCACTCAGAAGAACTCGGCCTGGAGGAACGTCCACCTCCACCAGTCCACGCGCATTTAACCAGCCGCTCTTTACTGGTTTTATTTATTTTATATCCTTATTTACCAGTTCAGTAATGACTATCGTACATGTGATCACTGGCTGCGGCTGTAAACTCGTCTTTAATCTTAAATGTGTTATTTTCAGTTGACAATATAACAATTATTGTTTACTGTAAACAAACGTGAATTTATCAACAACAACAACAACAACTCCCAGAGCAGGATCCCAGATTTAAACACTAAAGTCTGAGCTGTAGCAGCTGCTACTGCAGGCATGGCTGATGATAAACATTCTGTGGGTCACAAGATATTTTGCTAACAATCGTCGTCCTCCATGAAGGTCAACACTTTTGTTTGTTTTCGCTCCAAATGTTTGTTCCCAAATAAAACCTGGAAACAGTTTTTGATGCACGGGTCAAAGAAAAACCTTCACAGCCTCAGCAGTGCTCAGAAGACCTTGGCCCGGTCCGATCCACCACCATGAAGACCACCATGCTAACGTTAGCAAAACCTTAACTAAAAACTAGCATTAGCAAAACAGTAGACAAAAGCTAAAATTAGCCGAGCATTAAGAAGACAAAACTGATCTAGTAGCCAGTGGTCAATGGGAGTTTGGGTGTGTGACCTTTGACCTCAGAGGAGACCATCTCAGTCTGTCTCCAGCAGAGACACTCTGAAGGACAGAGGCCAGAACCTACACGGACTTCTGTGGTTCGATGTTCTGCAGCTAACAGTCCGAGCTCACGGCTCCTGATCGAGATGAAGTTTCATGTGTTTCCTGTTTGGGTTTTAAAGTTCAGGGAGGGGTGGTGCAGAGGTTAGAGAAGGGGGCCTGCGATCGGAAGGTCACCGGTTCGACTCCCCGGACCAACAAAATCAAATGTGAAGCACCCACACCTGCCTCCACCCTCATTGGCCCCACTCTGGGCCCTTGAGCAAGGCCCTTAACCCCCACCACCTGCTCCCAAACAGGTCTCTCTTGAACATGAGTCCTCGTGACTCAACGAGACTACCTGGATAAATAAAGTTAAATAAGAATAATTGAGGGAGGACAGACTGGACATCCTGGGTGCAGACGCAGAATGTAGACAGGAAATCCAGGATGTCAGCTGACCTGACCCTCATCATGTGACTCCACAGATGAAGCAGCAGAGATGGACTGAAGGCTCCTCAAAGATGAAATCTGTGGATCTAAAGCTGCTGCTGACCAGGAAGTCTTTGTCTCTTGGTTCCTGCATTCACCGTTAATGAGAGCTGCTTATCCACACGTGGACCACGATGATCTACAGGACTGGGTTTGAAGGTGTCAGACTCTCGGAGCGTCACTAATCTTTAAACCTCAGTCCTCCTCTGTTCGTTGGGACCAACGTGTGCGTCTCCTTCTCAGCGTGGCAGCGTCCTGGATCAGTTCCTGGATCAGATCTTCAGGAGATGGAGGGATAAGGCCGGTGTTTCTGGGATCAGGCCTCGTTAAGCTGTGATGAGCTGTCAGGTCGACGCCTCCGAGCGTCTAATCCCACCGTCCTCCTCAGATCTGATCTGGTCCACAGATCTTCAGCGTCGCTGCTTTAATGCAGATAATTCCTCCTGGTTTGTGGGGAGTCTAAGCTCAGAAAATCCCTTTAATCAAAGCAGCAGCGACACAAACACGGGCCTGAAGACGATGGAGTGAAGCTCTAATGCTGCACGTTTGAGACCCGAGCAGCTAAAACACCTTTTCCTGCTAAACGTCCGACTTCAGACACGTCAGCACCACCCTCCTGAGCTGAAATGTTAATTTACGCTCCAGTTTGGAAAGGATTAACAGTCGTCCTGAACTGAGGGGAACACTGAGCATGGCTCGTCTGAGGGTAGAAAATCAACAGAAGAAAAGCAGCCGAAGCTCCTCAACAAGTTGGAACAAAGAGATTAGCGTAAACTCTGAACATCAGATTATTTCTGTTCCGGACAAACTAACTTCAGATTTAATCATAAACAATCCAGTTTTTACTCTTGTACTTTTATTCCTTGTAAACCTTTATTTGGACCTTCAGTCAAGTTCTGAGCGAATCCACAAACAGCTGAAGTTGCTCCATCACTTCGCCTGTTGAGGAGGACTCTCAGCGACCACCACGTCACATTTTAGCTCAATAACTGTAAATCTCACCAAGTCAGCCCATTCATTTCCTACAGCGAGTTGGCTGTGGCGGCCATCTTGCATCTGAAGGTCCATCCACCATTGCGTGGCATATTTTGCTAACAGACACACACACGAGCAAAAAACATAATCGCCCTCCTCTCACTTCTTGACTGCAGGACATAAATATGAAAAGTTTTGGTGCTCATTCTGAAAGTTCTGTTTCTAAAAGTCAACACAAAGAAAACTTGACTCAAAAAATGGAACGGATTTTGTGAAAGTAAAATATTTAAACGGCTGCTGGTTCCTTCTAAACTAGCTAAAGTTGTTAACATGCAGCAGAAAAATGGCCGCCGTTCGCCTCTTTAGATAAACGATCAGTCCGTGCAGCTGCGTCGTCAATGTTCACAGATCGTTTGAGCCGTGGTTTAAACCTGAGAAAGTTCTGAAGCTTCGGACCTCTGAGGCCCAGATTGGACAGATTTCTTTCACGGGAGCCATTTTGGATTTTGCACCTGATCAATGAATCCTTCCCAGAGAAACCCTGAACCTGGTCTCTCTGCGCCACGCCCACATTTAGAGGAAAACTCGCCCAAATGTACGTCAGAACCTGCGGGCGACAAGCATTTAGTCTCAGTTGAACCCGTCTCCTGGGAGCCGGTGGTACGTCCGGTCCAGAGAGGTTTATGGACGGGGTGCCCCGACAGAAACAGGAAGCAGCAGGCTAGCTGGTTTATAAAAGATGCATCACATGACCCGCCGTGAGAGCGGAGTTGTTTTAAGACCACAAGGATCCACTTGGATTGGTCGTTAGCTCGTTAATCCTGTCCAAATTAAATCTGAAGAGTTAAAAGCACGACAGCGTCGTCCATTTTTGCTTCCTGCTGCGTCGGGGCGCCGTAAAGGCTCGTCAGCCATCACACCTTCGCTCTCCGCTCGAACCCTCCGAACCGCAGCGCTCAGTTTCATCAGGATGATCTTTAGTTGGGAGGATGAATAAGAGATTAAAGGAGTTATCCGGCGGCAGCGGTGGAGCTGGAGAACTTCGGCGCTCTGCTCAGCAGCGATTACCGACAGCAGCTAAAACGGCTTCATTCAGCCGACAGACACAACAACAGCTTTGAAACATTTCGTACTACCTTGAACGCCTCGTTTGGGTTTGAAGCGTGCAGGAAGCGGG